TGGGAACGTATTCTTTTTTCCTATACGTAGGCATAGCCTTCAAAGTTGCTACTCTGCAGTCTTCCACTCTAACCTGGATGGCTGCCTGCCATTTTCCTCTCCACTGCAATAAGAAAATACCTATATCAGACTTAAAGGAGAACAATATGCAGAATTTTATGATGAAAACGAAGGTAGAAAACTCAGTCATAACTCGGTAACCTGCTTTCATGCTCAATAAATTCATGATGGAACAGGTGAGGAAGGTGATCGACCAAGCATTTCATTGTATAGAGTATGCACTATTATATAATACTCGCGAGACAAAATTCACAACTTAAATTTATCGGCGGCAACCTTGATGCTTCCTCTAACACTGAAAGTAAAGAAATGTTAACTCGTAACGCTTAAATACAGCTCGTACCTTTATCCACACAGCCTTCCCAGATTCCTGATGCTTTAAGCTAGTATGGTCCTTCTTGGACGAGGCGTCCTTCTGGAGGGAATTAACAGCAAGCTCCAAAACTTGAGCATTCTCAAGAGTAACCAAAGCAGGCTCCAAGGTCACAGAGCAAGCAGTGTTCTCTGGAGGAGTAGCTAGAACAGGGACCAGGGGTTTAAGGGGTACAGAATCCTGTTCAAGAGAAACAGGCTCTTGTGTCCTAGGAGCAACAATACCAGAGAGTTCCTGTGTGACATGATCAATCGTTGAGCTGCCAAGTTCATGCCCATTTTCTAAAGCGATAACCATGCTCATCAGCGGCAAAACCTCTTTCCCTACTCCAGCCCCGTGATTCGAGTCAACCTCATGTCTGTTGTGCGTTCCATAAGCAACAGGAAAGACCACACGATCCTGGACTGATTCCAGAGAAGCTTCAGTTTGCAACCCAGCCCCTTGTAAAAAGTTAAGTTGGTCATCAGTGGCAGGTAATGCGAAATTACCCACCAGATGATCATCAAGGTTATGTTCAAAGGCCATCAACTCCTCCTGCTCTTCCACAGTGAAATTGGATTCGCCTCCCGCCTCGGGGATATCAAATAAGAGCTTGAGCAGAGACATGGTGTCAGCCTCTTCAAATCCCAAGCTCACCAGTCCCCACTCTAACTTATGCCCTAACTCTTCTCATACCCCCAATGCAGGTGCAAACTCTGCACCTCCACGACAATTCTCTCTACGAAAACCTCACATCAGACACTCGAATCCACTGCTCACGCCATCTTCCACCACTGCATCACTCTCCCACCTAAATACCCGTCCTCTTTCACAACAGAAAAGAAACAATCAAAACAATAGTAATTAAGATCGATCAATGCCACCGTGCCTCCCTCCCCGCTCACCACATCGCCGAGTTAATTGCTCGCCCCATTTTCATCTCCAAATTATGCAGGTGAGGAAGGAGAGACATCTTGCGAACATCGTCTCACCGCTCCAAGGCTTTCGCCCATGCATCAGAAAACCATGTGGAAGGAAAAAAAAGAAAAACTACAGGCGTTGGAAGACAGCAACGAATACGCTGTTTCGATTTGATAGTCTACCACAAACCTGCGCCCACGAGCGATTGCATCGACATGGGATGCAGTAGAAAACCCTAGCAAGTATTCTCAACCATCACTGGGACCTCCGTGTCAAGGGTGAGCTTCACAACTGGTGACGGAGGAAGAGTCCCGGGTTGGCGCACTGGACTCAGAAGCTGGACTCATTTGAGTTCGTCTTGCTTTGGCGGGTATCTAAATCCTGGGATCCGGTTCTCTGTCGCATGCTACCGGGTATTTTCACTTTTGCTTCTGATCCGGGCTTCAACTCGGGTCTCAGCGCCACGTTCCCAAAAAGTTGATGCGGTTCCCAAAAGTTTGATGTTCTCCTTGTCATGATTGGTATCACTTCATGGTTTTTTGCCTCAATAGTTTGCTACAATGCTCAAAATTCTTGTTGGCTTTTTTCTGGAATACATATTACTATTGCATACAAAAAAAATTAAAAATACAATAACTAAACCAAATGCCACCCATGTGAAGAAATTTTTTGAATGCTTCATTGTTGGTTTGAAAATGACATTATCTCTTAAAGATAAAAAAATAATCACAAGGGAACATTGAAAATCCTTTAAGGAAAACTGAAAATCCATTTTCGTTTTCATCAAGACAAGACTAGCAGAAATAAAACACGTGCTTCCAACATACTTCTCAACATTTTGATTGAATTTAAAGCATTTCCAACACTTTTTCTTTTTTTTTTTTTCCTCAAAGTTCGAAACAAAAACAGAATTGAAAGCTTCCATAAATAGCAATTGTGATAAAATTTCCAGGAAAAGAAGTTAATTTTTCCAAAATTCAAATCATGATTGATGTTTGAGAAGCATTTAGTGTGAAAAGATTCGAGAACTTTCGGGGTCAAAATATTTCATTTTTTGCGCTTCAATTATATTTCATTAAAAATTAAAAACTTCAGTCTTTTAATGCACTAATATTCAGTGGTTTCGATGAATTATACTAACCAGGTAATAATTTTCAACTAAATAGTAGGATTTTTCAACCTGGAATTTGCAATAATTTTTTTTTGTCTAGTGATACAATTTGCATTGTTCAATAAATCCTGATTAATCCCCCTCAGGATGATATAACATACGCTTGTCAAAAACTTCAGTGCGACTGATTGAGCAAAATATCCATTTTATTTCTTTAAGCAACAACGCCAAGTATTCCAAAAGTATTCCAAAAAGCTCTCTAGTTGGAGACGGTCTGACACAGATGTCAACTCGGCATGCAGCCAAGTAAGCTTCCATGTCATCAGCTGACTTGGCGAAATACCCATCCAGGTCACAGCATTGCCGACACTGAAGGTGCATCGGCGAATGCCATCACCGATCACGTTGATTTCGAACCCGATTTAGTGCTGTCGCATTATTGTAGCCGATTCTGTGTCTCCTCCGACTTCAATCCCTCGCTTCATTTTGGCTCATTATCATTAAGATTGCAGCTCTGCACAGCTTTTCCCCGAGACTCACTAAGAATGGGAAAAAGTCGCGTTGCTGATGGTTCCGAGGGTTGCAAGGTATTCCGAGTAATTTTTTGATGTCACGATTGGATAGGCCGCAAACTTGATCGTCACTAGCCTCCAGACATTTTCGTGAACCCGATCTGCCTGATTGTTTGCAACAGTTAAGAGAATAATAATGCCTCGGTGTGCAGTTGTCTATTGGTTCGGAATCTGAAGTAGAAAATTTCAATATTCGATCCATGAAAACAGCCACCGTCGGTGAGAGTTCTGACAGCCCAGTAAGCTTTGAACAAAGGATGACTGCTATTAAGGTACAAGACCCATTTCTGATAACTTAAGCATTTCATTATGTTCAGTGTAAAAATAAAAATAAATAAAAACAAAAACACTCATGTAAGAAAATAGAAATGAGGAGGTTCCAAGTGTTTTTACACAATTTGGCTCAAAAACATAATTTATATAAATATTTTAGCACAAGATTCTCTTCAATCCATTTTTGACATATAGGTCAACCTAATTCTGATCAGTGGTGGGTTACAAAATCAATAATTCAACTTTTACAAACTAAGAAGTGTGGCACATTTTAACAAATCTACACAATTCTTTATTATTTTGGTATAACACAACACACTTACATAATTTATTTTTATTTTTGTTTTTAAAATGTATAGTAGAATGCATCTAAACAACCTATTTTCTATCTTGATGCAACGAAATATATTTATGCATAATATAATATATTCTTACACATTGTAATTCTTGCACATACATTATGTCTAAAGAAACTCAAATTCAACATCTTTCTTAGGATAAACCCTTTCCTTCTATATGCACTTATTAGTGATGTATTTCCTAATTAGCTTGTTTAAGAAACTAAGTCAATTATACTTAATTATTTTGTTTTTTTAATTTTTCTTTTCTTTTGAAGGCTATCTTTATGCAAATAACAAATAAAATCTTCTGAATTCTATCATATAAAATATTGAAATGAAGTGAAATTAGTGTTATCAAATCCACTCACATTTACCTCATAGCTTTTTATTCTTTTTCTTTGTACTTAAAAAGATAAGGTGAGAGAATACAATTTTTAAATTGTTTGATTGTTTGAAATTTGAAAAGCCTCATTAAATTGACTTTATACTTAGAAAAGTAAGTCTAAAGGTTCTAAGAGGAAAAGATGAAGTTGAATGTTGTTCTTTTTTTTTACATGACTTAAATAGTGTTGTTTCCCAAAATTACTATTGGGTCTATTTCAAGAGATTGTTTTTGGGAACAATAGAAAAAGCCATGCCAAAAAATACTTCATAATTCAAACTTCATAATTTTTATTTTATTTTATTTTATTTTTTGTATTCTTCAAACTTTTTAGATGTATTTAGACTTGCAATAAAAAAGATAAAAACTCACATATTTAGACTCACATATTTAGACTTGCAATAAAAAAATAAAAATAAAATTGATCCATTTCTTTATGTCTTTTCACTTTATTCTCTATCCAAAGGCCAAGGCATCCAAAGGACTTTTTTTTTTTTCACTAAACAAAGAATCTTGATAAAACTTCCAAACCATAACCTTTTAAACTGGGCTTCTAAATGTAAAGTCCCCTTGAAAAAAATTGATGTCTGTATTTTGCAAATGATATGACCTCAAGAATGTTGCATGGTTCCAATAATGTCCCAATAATGTGTAATGTACACAATGTGATCTTCCTTCAAGCAGTATGATAACGTGTGCTGGAATAAAACGTAGAGAGAGCTCAAGCAATATCCACATGGAAGAGAGAGAATGCTTGTTAAATTTGATTAACAATGATCAGTAAATGTTATCTCGCAGTGAATCCATGTAATTTATTGTCCTCTGCCCATTCAACTCACACCAAGCCTACTTGTAAGATTTTACATTTTTTCATGGCAGACAAGTACACCCCCATTCTGTTCCAGAATCAATAAATAAATAAAACCATACCCACACAAAAAGCAAGAGTGGGGACTAAGCTAATAATAAAATGTGAAAAAGTTTAAGATTGAGATTAAGATTGAGGGGCACTCCTTCAGTGGAAGACTTTTGCTGCACTCAGTCCCTGTTTCACTTAAAAGAGTTCTCAAATATTTACTGAAGTGATCGATACAAAAAAAGTGTAAGAATCAAAAACATTGCTACTTTTGTACCATCAAGTTTAACATCTAAAGAAGAAAAAGAAAAAGAAATTCAGAAGAGCCTACTGTTGATTACACTGGACGCGAGGTCCTTCATCCTCAAGCTTTGTCTCTTCTTGTTGCTCCTCCTCCTTTCTCATCTTGTCCTCAATGTTTACATCGATCATAGTTGTTTCCTCACACTCGTCTAATTCCATGTCCGTGAACATCACAGCTGCTCTGGGTGGTAGAATATCCTCAATTGCATCGCATCGATCCATTGTCAGTGACCCGGACTTGGGGAAGTCCACAGTGAAGTGCAAGTATAACCTACCCTTCTCAAAAGGTCTTTGATAGTGCGGCATACCCTCGTCGTTGATAGCCTTAAATTGACCTGCGTGCCATGAAGACAAAAACAAGTCCATCAACCAACTCACCAGTGAGGAACCTCAATTTGGTCAGTGAAAATCCATCCGTGATTAATGAGACTCCACATCACATATTGCAACCCACAAGACCCTCATCGCCACTTTCAATACAAGTACATCCTCGTTCCTGTAAATCAGTACCTGGCTTCACAATTTCACCGGGTTTTGATTTGATCAGAAGCTGCCTTCCATCCAAGTGTGTCAGAGAAAACTGGAAACCGCACAAAGCTTCTGTCAGGCTCAGTGTGCGCTCCAGAAACAGGTCGTCTCCTTTCCTTTTGAACTCCGGATGCTCCTTCAGTTGTAAAACGAACACAACATCTTCTGTTGCTTTCTTGTGCTATATCCAACACAACAAAGACAATCACGTGTCACCATTGCATGTTCGCAATGCAATGCCCCTAACACGCGTATCGTCAACTTCTCCTACACATAAAACTCCCATCAACATAACTTACTCCCACCTTCTCCAGAGTCAAACATTACATTCAACCCCACATAGCCGCAAATACATCCTACAGCATTACATACCGCCTCGTTATACCCGCCTTGCAACGTAATCTTCTGCCCATGCTTCATGCCCTTGTCCACAACTACCTCCCACACTTTCTTCTCGTGCAACAGCTTCTGACCCTTGCACTGTCCACATTTGTCCTCCTCTCTGATAGTCTCTCCTGAGCCTCCGCAGCCAGAGCAAACACTCTGTATCTGCTGAATCATATTGGGACCCAGCTGGCGTATCAAATTCGTCCTGCCTGAACCTAGACACTCTGCGCACCGACTGGATGAGCCGGTCTTCGATCCCGTTCTGCAGGATTAAAAGCGAATTTTTTTTGATAAACAAACTAGATGGCTGTGGCCAATGAAATTGAATTAAGCCTTCAAACAATGGGTACTAAACCAGTCGCACACATGCGGATGCAGAAATATGAGTCTGAACTGTAAACCTACTAGTAAACGCTGTGTCGTTAGTCGAAACCCTAAAAGGATGTTGCATTGAATAAAATATGACTCTAAGTATGGACTTGCACGGGTAGGGACTTTGTTTCTTCAGTGAATGTTCCTTAGTTTATGGTGAAATCCTCATTCATCAGCCAATAATCTAAAACCTCTGACATGAACTTCTTACAAACATGTCGACTTGTTCTGATTTTGAATTTGAGTGGAAATTTTGAGGTTAGACAGAAGAAACGAGCGAAAATTACAGCAGGTTTTAGGTGACCTCACGACAGAAGCTTACGGATTTTCTGAAGGACACCACGGAACCGTACTCAATTTCTTCAAACTAATCAAGAGCAACCTATACTTCTAAGAATTGAAATCACAATCTTACAAATCATCACAAAGTTCAAAGTATCCGAGCAACTAAGAGCAGATTGGTACTAATCATCCCACTAGAATAACGATCAGCACTACCAGATCACACGTCAGACTCAGTAATCACATTGACTTGATTACCGGTAAGCACCGGCAGGTTTACATGCTCATCCTTGACCTCCCAATTATGGAATTCAACGAAGCATAAATAAAAATTACAAGCCTTACCCTTTACAGTTCCTGCAAACAACATTTCTCGATGTATTGACCTTCTTTGTTGCTCCATTATAAAGATCTTCCAATGTTACCTTCAAGGGATGTGAAGTCTTCTCCACATGTTCTTCTTTCTTCTGCCGCCTGAAATCCCTGCTACTTCCGCAGCCTGCTGAAAGCGAATTTGAATGAAATTGACCATAAACCAGATGTTCTTAAAACTTCCATGCAGTAGTTCACCGAAAATTCCAAAACGATCATACCTCCGAAAGGATTACCGCCGGCGCCGCCAAATAACGAGTCAAGGATGTCAAACGGATTGAGTCCAGCATCTCCTGAACCAGCTCCCTCTTTAAGAGCGTCTTCTCCATATTTATCATATATTTCTCGTTTCTTGGGATCACTAAGTATTTGGAATGCATGAGCAAGTTCCTTGAACTGCAGAGAGAAAGCTACGTCTTAGTTCATCTATAACAACATCTCACATCTGCACCTTCTGTGCTGCACGTCGACAATCCCAAACGGCTAAAACTCAAGTCCTACTCAGAATCAAATAGAGCGTAGCCCTACCTTCTCTGGATCTCCACCTTTGTCAGGATGGTTCTTAATTGCAGCCTTCCTGTACGCCTTCTTAAGCTCATCCGGCGATGCGCCCTTACCCACCCCAAGGACAGCATAATATTTTGAGTTGTCACTTTTCTTCGTAGGTATACGTTGGAACATGACTACTAATTTTCTTCACTATTGCTCACCAGCAAGTGAGATCTTTATCCAAGTACCCCACCAGAACCCAACTCTGTTTGAATCTTCTACTAAAGTCTTATCACAGACACCGCTCCTCCAACGCCCAAAGCAAGCGACTATCCGGATTAGCAGCAAAGAGCTGAGGCTAAAAGCACCAAAAATCAGACACCTCAAGCGAAACCAACGATCGATCAAGGATTCACGACCGAAACAGCGCTTTGCAGACGCAACCTTCGCAAGAGAACATATCTTCTCCGACAGGGGAAAACTTAGAGCAACTTTTCTAAGACTAAAAATACGAAACGCAGACATCAACCCAAATTCAACCCATTTTAACAATTTTATTAGCTTTTTCTCAGACAACGGTAGACCACCGCAGGAGCTGAGAGCATCGCTCCCGAGGACAAGGATCACCTGGCCCCCCCTTTCATGATTGCAGACACATTGTTCCAACCCATCCTCACCGTGTGTCTGATCGGTCACGATAGTACCGACAAACAGAGAGAGAGACCTCATAACCTGCAACCTTCGCAACAAGCTGCAGGTTTTCGGCTAACAATCCACCCTACTCCTACTCCTACTGATGCTACATGAGAGTCTGTTTTCTAGACATGGCCCACCTTAGTAGAATATTGTGTCCATTCACAGACCATTGCCGCAAGATTGCAAAGGTTTGTTCTGACCGTTTACCGGAACGAGTGTCTGTATCGGCCATGGATCTGACAAGCCAATGATTTTGGTGGTAAACTGTATAACCAGTGAGTGGTGTCCATTTGCATAACTTATGTGGCTTTACTAATTCTGTGTTGTGTTGTGGAGAAGATGTGCTATTTGTGGCATATATCTTTCTGGAGGAATTGGGTCCTGAGTCGTATTTCCTGCAGGTTTTGCTGCTTTTGGAGGTTGAAGGAATTGTCAACTTACTCGACGTACACTTCCTCCGAAGTCTAAATAATCTGGAGCATTTTCCACTACAACTTCGAATCCATGACTTGGTCAAGTTGAGTAGACCTTTTTGGGCATGGATGTGGGGCGGTTTGGAAGAAGTTTAGTTCCCATTGTTGAACTTCTTTTTATTTTGATTGTACAAAAAAGAATCTTTAATTTTTTTTTTTTTTTTTGTTTTTTGTTTTTTTCAAAATTTTTCAAATTTTTTATGTATTGGGCTTTTTTTGAAGAGCAATCTTTCTATTAGGATATTATCTTTAAAATGAAAAAGAAAGAATCAAATTAGATGAGATTATAGAATTAACAAGTTTTATGTTAAAAGAATCAAAGTAGAATGTCTAAGATACTTTCATAATTTATATTACTTAGAAAAAGTTACAAAGGTAGTTGTTGGTTAATTTGAAATAAAAATATATGATATATATTATTATTATGGCTAATATAATTTTTTCTATTAGAATCAATTTATGGCAAAATGTCATATTAACATAATTATATATTGCTTAATCAAAACTATCAATGTTTATTTGATTTTTTAAAATAAATTTTAAATCATAATATATATATATATATATATATATATATATTAATCTTAGAATTTTCAAATATTTTATTTGTAACTTAAAGATCTTACTACAATTGTAAAGATTTTTATATTAGTATAAATTTTTTAATTATTCATGTTAACAAATGTTGCATCCAACTTCTTTAGGTTCATGAATTTTTTAAAATAAAGTTTTTGAATGCATATAAGATAATTAAAGCTTAATAGAACCACCTCTAATTCTTTATACAAATTCATATCTAACATTGTCATTAAAATCAATTTTATAAATGTCTTATATATATAAATATATATATATATATATATATATATATTATTTTTAAAATTTTAACTTTATTTATTTATTTATTTATTTTTTATGTTTGATGATTTTTTTAAGTCCATAGTCATTTCTTTTAAATCCACATATTTGGTAGAAATCAATATTCTTAAGTTTTTCATGATATCAAATATTGCATCTAACTTCATTAAGTTGGTGCAATTAACAAAATAAAGTTCATGAAGACATGTGAGGTGATTAAAGCTTCTTGGCAATATTTCTTATTGCTCACATCTATCTACATCTAAGACCTTCAATAATATCAATGCTTAAAATGTCTTGTATAAAGTCTTAATCTTCTTATATTTTTATTATTATTTTTATCTTTAATAATTTAATTAATTTTGATAGTATTTCTTCTAAATTCACATATTAATTAATTAATAACTTTGTTAAATCCTTCATGCCATCAAATGTTGATTCTAATTTCTCAAAGTTGATGCAATTTAAAAATAAAGCTCTTAAATGTGTATAAGGTGATAGAAGCTTCTTAGCACTAGCTCTAATTACTCACACCCAACTATCAAAAACATGAACCTCAAAGAATTAAAATGCCAATATACTCTTGCCTCCATATATACTCTTAACTAAGAACTATGTGGCAATGTCTTATAAGACCTCCAAAATGTATTTATTTTGTAAGATACATATCTTAACTTGCAAAGCAAGTTTTCTGTATGTGTGTTATATAGTTAGCTTGTTCCGCAAGCTACCAATATGTGGTTAACTTGTTAACCAAGTTTCTAACCTACCAATCAACTACAAATATATGTAAAATCAAAGTAGTATCTATGAAGCTTCTAAGAAGTATCTCTAAAAAATACTATAAAATAAATCTACTTTAATCTACTTCTACTTAATCATATAAGTAAATATTAGAGTAAATGTTAGGGACATAGTCCTTAGAACCTTCTAGAGAAAAGTTTCTAGAACCTTCTAGAAGTAAGTCTCTGGAACCTTCTAGAAGCATCTTAGTTGGTAGAAGTTGCTTGAGAAGCTTCCTAAATAGGAGTATATATTAGAATCGAGGCTGAAGAGTTCTTTAGTCTCGACAACACATCTCTTGGAGCTCTAGCTTACCTCTCTGATGTTGTTCTTGTATTCATCTGATTAATCTAGTTCTTGCCAATTCTTCTTGAACTTCTTATTAGATCTCGAGCCTTTATTTTTGTGTCCGTGACAGTTTGTCAAGACTGCACTCACCTCAGATATCAGAGCTAGTTTCTTCCTCATTAGAGTGTGGATTATCCCTCTGCTTGGAAGTGTACTAGCATTTTAGAGGTTGCGGATTACCTTCCTCTAAATTGATACTTCTTTTGTTACAATATTGGAGTCTTATTCTTCTTGGAGAGAGTGGATTACCCCTTTTTTTGAAGCTCTTAAGGCATTTTAGAGGTTGTGGAGTACCCTCCTCTAAACCAATATTGTCTTCTTGTAGAATCATTTCTGTTCTTCTCTTAGAATGGCCGGGGGCCAAAACATTAGTATGACGAAAAGTTCGGAGTCCAAGTTGGATGCTATCATGAATGCCCTCACTACGTTATCGTAAAGAACTGCAGAGATTGAAGGAGTCGTGGCAAGGCTTCATAATGATGGAGCATCTGAGATGGCACAATCTAGGTTGCACCAGCCTCAAACTTCTGCACTTGGAGAAGCAACTTTGCCTCAGGTTCGATAAGTACCGCTGGTTCTACAACATAAGGAGCCCCGAGTTAGCCTTCAGGACAAGTTCGATGGTACGCGTTCCAAGTTTCAAGGATTCATCAACCAAATCAGGTTGATAATAGTTTTACAGCCCGAACGCTATCCAACGGAGGAGTCACGTGTTGGGCTTGTTGGAACCTTATTTACAGGGCAAACTCTATCATGGTTTGTTCCTTTATTTGAGAAATGATCGTCCATACTAAACAACCTTGAAACTTTTTTGGAAGCATTTGTAGAAGCATTTGGTGAATACGTCAAGGTTCAATGGGCTACAACAAAAATCCGGTCACTATGACAAGGGATGTGCTCTACATCAGTCTATGCATCAGACTTCAAGAAATTAGCATGCGACATCAATTAGAACGAAGAAGCATTGATGAGTCAATTCTATTGGGGTTTAAGGGACGATGTGAAGGATTTACTATTAACTCTTCCTGGTCCGCAAACACTCAACGAAGCTATTAGCTAAGCTGTGAAGTGTGATAATTGCCTATTTCAACGCCGACAAGATCAACGTTCAAGACAACATATAATTCGCCACGTCTCAACTATTTTGGCAAGCAGCATGAATTCACATTCAGAGGTAGAAGACATGCAAATTGATGCGGTACGTGTCAAATCCCTTACTCTAGAAGAAAAAAAGCGGAGTATGGACAAAGGTCTATGCTTGTATTGCGGTGAAGAAGGCCACAAAGTTGGAAACTGCCCTAAGAAGCAAAATTGATGTATTGTCAAGACTAGGAGTGCATTTGTTCAGGAAAACGAGGATGCCCAACCACAATAGGAACCGTGCAGCTAGACAGTGAAATATCGCAACAACAACTAGGTTCCTTTCTTTCCGCTCAACCTGCCCTTTGCTTTACAATCCCTTTGCTTATTGGCCCTCAGAAACTAAAAACCTTAGTATTATTAGATTCAAGAGCATCTGCTTGTTTCTTAGACGAAGAACTTGTGAAGCGTCATAAGATCCCTTTAATACAAAAATCCAAACCTGTTCACATTGAGGTCATAGATGGGCGACCTTTATTGTCTAGTAGTGTCACTCATGAATCAAAACCTATAGAAGTGATGTTTAAGGACCATAGTAGTCATATTATTTTCAATATTATTAGAACCCCATCAAATCCTATTATTCTTGGTCTTTCCTGGTTGGAAAAGTATAACCCATCCATAGATTGGAAGTTGGAGAAGATGACGTTTTCCACAAAACCATCCTAGAGCAAGCCTAGTAGAAAACCCCGAATAGAGAAATCCTTATTCATTAGAGCAAGAGCGTTTATAAGATCATCCAAGGAAGGCACACCATTTGTCATTTATGCGACTCCAACTACCGGAGAGAAGATCTCGACAACAAATATACTAGAGCAATATAAGGATTTTAAAGACGTATTTCAAAAGAAAAATGTCGACATCCTATCGAAACACCGACCATATGATTGCGCCATAGACTTACAAGAAGGAGCACAACCGCCTTTTGACCCAATCTACAATCTATCGCAGACGGAGTTGGCAGAATTGCGAAAGTACATCGATGAGAATCTAGCTAAGTACTTCATTTATCATTCAAAATCGTCAGTTGGAGCACCCATCTTATTTGTGAAGAAGAAAGATGGCTTGTTGCGGACGTTGTTGAAGCTAGAACAATTTTGGCTTTGCGCTACTATTGTGCCAATTGATGCTGACTTCCTGAATCAGGTATGTACCGTGACCATTGAAGATTCAGTAGCCATTGATATCAAGCAGCGTGCCAATGATGACAAGTTCAAGGTGGAGGGAGATCTTTTATATTTTGAAGAGCGGTTGTATATCCCAAAGGGACCAGCACGACTCCGAGTTCTTCAATCTTGCCATGAAATTTCAGCTGCGGGACATTTTGGATTCAACAAGACCTTGGAGCTTATTTCTCGAGATTTTTAGTGGCCCCAAATGTGGAAGGATGTGAAAGATTTTGTCCTCTTCTGCGACATCTATTCAAGATCCAAGAA